TGACGAGAGCATATTCTTAACCGTCCGATGCCGATCGAGCTCATATATGTAGGCAAACTATAAGCTCCATCTCATAGGAAAGTTGAGAATGTGCCCTGACAAAAGACCTTACCTGTTATTGTTATGTTTGTGGTTGTAGTTGTGGTTGTGGCTGTTATTGTTGTGGTTGTTATTGTTGTTGTAGTTGAAATTTGCACTGTTATATGAAGAAGATAAAAGCAAATATTATTAGTTGATTCATCAGCTAAAAAATTGCTAACGAGGTAATCTATGCACATTCCAAAGTTGTTATGTTTTACTAATAATTGGTTTTGTCATTTTGACGAAAATTGGCAATAGCGAATTGCTACTCAGCTTTCTCCTCAAGTAGAACACTAATGCACCGAAAAATCATCAGAACCTTCAGAGATTTTTTGTAAACACTCATGAGTGTAATCAAGCAACGCATGTTATTTAAATATATTTTATTTTTGAGCCTTTCAATAATTGATCTCATTATTTGATCCCGTCGAACGAGCTGTCAGATATTGTCGAATTTGATCACGCTTGATGATATCCGTTGATTTTTTATTTCAAAGTTTCGACAGACGTATTATATCGTCATTAACCGTCGGAATGATATTAGATTCTGTAACGAATGATGGTCAAACGGAAATTTTGTTCCATCTTTTCGAAGCTATTCCATCGAAATGATCAGAATGGACTCAGGCTAGCTAATAAACGTGGACTTTCCACAAAAGCTTTGACAGAATATCTTTTGAGAGTTGAATAAACCTTCTGCAGGCTGTAAAGAACATGAAGAAAGTGTATTCATGTACAATGCCGTCGACATATAATGCATTGATTGCTATGGTTCGTTTGAATACTAAGAGTCAATTTGGAATCTCTGTCTACGTAAGTAAGCAACCTAACTAAAGATGAACCTATTCATTGTGTCCAGTTTAGTTATTCAATTGAATCAACAGAGATGTGCAGAAAAAATAGATAAAAAGTGGATATCCTTGACCTATATGGTCTCAATAGAATAATTGATACGAGAAAGTCTTTCCTTGAGAGCCTTTGCAAAAATAAAATATACTCAGAAACATATACTAAAGCATAGACAATGTTTCTGGCATATTTGTGTCACAATAGAGGAGGATGTTCATGTAGAGTCTCATGTGGTGATGTCATTTCAAAGTTGATCTTATTGCAGATCAAATTTTAGAACATCGAACATTTATATTCATACGACCTCGATTTGCTTTACCTCTTTATAGAATGTCGACATTAAGATAATTCTAGTGACTTTCACATGATTTTAATGATTCTAATTATTTGGACGATTTCTGTTTTGCTCAGAAACATATAATAGCGTAAAGTAAGAAGGATGACAAGAAATGTTTCTGAATCTATTCGTGATAGGAGATTTAATTCTTCTACGAGTTTTAATGCGTAAACAGGTCACTATTTAGTATTGCTTTTTGTTTCAAAGAATGAAAGCATCTGTTGAACTCTGTGTGCAATCGACATTCTTGTTGTATATCTGAGACAATGAATAGGTGAAAAAGAAAAGAAAGAGAAAAGTAATTAAATGATATTAGAATCGCACGCATCTGTTACGGGAAAGAAAATGTTACTGAGTATGCTATTTTTTTCTTGCTCAGTTTTAGCATTGTCTATCCAAACATTGCAACTTCAACTAGACTATTAATATTTACATCATTAAGGAATGAATTTTCTCAAAACTGCAACGTTAAAATCGCAAAATAATGTCAGGATTCTTTATCGAAATTTCTGATTTAATCGTTGAATTTTTCATGTTTTTGTGAAACACGATCTGAAAGGAGTGTTGAAGTGTTTAGGGGTAGAAATTTGGACCCACCCCCTCCCTCCCCCCCCACAGACCGTGACAGAGAAATTCCATACCCATCACAGACCGTGACAAAGAAACCCTAGTACCCATCACAGACCGTGACAGAGAACCTCCAGACCCATCACAGACCGTGACAGAGAAACCAAATACCCATCACAGACCGTGACAGAGAAACCCTAGTACCCATCACCGACCGTGACAGAGAACCTCCAGATCCATCACAGACCGTGACAGAGAAGCCCCAATATCCATCACAGACCGTGATAGAGAAGCCCCAATATCCATCACAGACCGTGATAGAGAAACCAAATACCCATCACAGACCGTGACAGAGAAACCCTAGTACCCATCACAGACCGTGACAGAGAAACCCCAATACCCATCACAGACCATGACAGAGAATCTCCGGACCCATCACAGACCGTGACAGAGAAACCCTAGTACCGATCACAGACCGTGACAGAGAAACCCTAGTACCGATCACAGACCGTGACAGAGAAAACCCAGTATCCATTACAGAAATAGATAGACCTGTTTTTATATGAAGTACGATTAAATGTCGCTAAAATTTCATGGAAATATGTCAACTGCTTCTTTTTTGCAGCTCCAGAGGAATTAATAAACAATGATTTATTAATGGATCCGAAGATATCGAAGAAAACATATTCGTGTGACTAGTGACAACAGCTGCATCGTGTTTCACATTTTAATCCCGCAGGGATTGCGCTAACAGCTTTTTATACATAGTCTGCTGCGATCGCTGAGGAACCTATCGATTCAAGGAAAAAAGCAGAATATTTGTGATCAGCGCTCTTTCCGATGCTATTTGAAGACAAATCTTCGCCCATTTGTTTATTTATCTTTGAATTTATTCCAGCATAAAATGTTTCGTTTTCAGAAATAATTCAATCGATTAGATGAAGAGAGGGTGTGGGTGTGGGTGTGGGTGGCTGGAGTGTGGGTGGATGTGGGTGTGGGTGGCTGGAGTGTGGGTGGGTGTGGGTGTGTGAGTGTGGGGTGGGTGTGGGTGTGGATCTTTACCTCAATGACACCCACACACCCACACCCACCCTCAAGCGACCAGTAAGAAGATGGTAATGAATTGAACATAAAATTTGAAAGATCATGCGCATTGCAAGATTTCTTCTTCTTACGAGAACGTACATTGTTAAGTACTTCATCGGCAGAGGCAGGTGAAATTTCTTCTTCGTAGTTTTCCCATATTGCCTCGGATGCGTCTGTATATGGATGTGGACGATAAATATTCTCACGTTCCTTAAAAAAAATCTTCATAGTAATCGACAGCAACTTCGCACATTTTTTTGGGGTTTTTAATAATTTCATCACTAGAACGGTTAAAGTCATGGAAAGAAGTGAATGTTGATTCCATAAACTTCTTAGTTCTAGACCAGAAGCAAACAGAAAGTGGTGATGAAGTATTACGTGCAGCTAAAGAGGAAGCTAGCGAATCGGGCAAAAACAGTTTGAGTTGGTATTTAGCAATTTTTCTCCTACTTTTGACAATATTTTTCAACCCAATATCGTCTGTTCTTTTTTGTCTGAAGGATAAAGCACATGTGTATGCCATGTAGATTCTCAACTCCTGCGGTAGTGCTATTCGGTATTTGTTTAAAGGGAAAAGAACTGTACAGCGTGAAGTGAGAAGAGAAATAAAGGTTATATAATCGTTGTATACATCATCTAGATCATTTAAATACCAATTTTTCTCCCAAAAAGGGTAAACATATTCACAAAACATCGTGAAGACTTTTCAATGAACATTACGAGCAAACGAAATCTCTTTAGATTTTATTGGTACTATAGATAAGACAGGTTTGTGATCATTTGAGGTGCCTCCCTCGTAAGTTTGTATGCTGACCGAAAAACCAGAGGAAAAGACGAAATCAATTATTTTGTTTGACCTTCAAGATGTCGGTTGTGATGGAGTATATGGTGTAAGAAACTGAGAATCCGCCCATAGCATCAAGAGTTCTGATTTAGCTTGATCTTTTTCGAGATCAACATTGAAATCTCCAAAAAACGCGCACTTAGGGGTGACAAAAGGTGTTAAATCATTCCAAAACCATGATTTACTATCGGACGCATATACGCCTGATACTCTGAAGACTTCGTCTTCCAAGATGTCTACGATACAGATTTACCTTTTTGATAGAAAATTTTATATTTAGAGAAGACTTGGCAACTATGTGAAAGATCGACACATCCTGTTTCTAAGAGAATTAGAATATCGAAATTAAAGGAGTTAGAGAGAAGTAGAACTTCCTGATAGTGTGAATTGAAACCACGAACGTTGAAAGAAAGAATATGGAGGGAGTTTACTATGGAAGAGGTATCATTGGTCTTATAACACTTCCAGATATTAAAACAATCGCGTAGAAAAGGAGAGCTTTCCCATTCGTACAAGATCTCACATAGTAGAAGAAAGTCGAAATGTGAAAGATTATTCAGAGCTTTACCTAGAAACAAATCTCGTTCACGTAATATTCTAGGATCAATAGAAGAAAAGAAAGGAACTGCATATGGGGAGAGGTCTATTTAGTCGACGACAAAAGTTTCGCCCACCTTGAAATAAATTTTTTATATTAATTTTGACGTATGAGAATAGAATGCAATACATATATATATAGAGGAGTTCGAGACATTTACGCAGCACATAGTAGTTTTATAAGTGTTTGTTTCTTCTTTGAGCAAAGTAAAAATATATGAATACATCCATTTTTGGATAACTTGTTTGAGGATGGGATGGATTGTATGATATGAGACCAAAATTTCGAACTGACGGATTTCTAGTGAACGAATTACAGTTCAAAATTTCGTGCTCAGTGTTCTTGATACTGCCCATTGATGGAGCATAGCCAAAGCTCTCTCCTCTGAATAGTCAAAAGTTATAAACCCGATCTCACTTCACATGAACTATCTCATCTTTCAACAGGTCATTCAAAAATGGATGTATTCACATATTTTTACTTTGCTCAAAGAAGAAACAAACATTTATGAAACTACTATGTGTTGCGTAAATGTCTCGAACTCCTCTCTATATACATGTATTGCATTCTATTTTCATACGTCAAAAATAATATAAAAAATTTATTTCAAGACGGGCGAAACTTTTGTCGTCGACTAATTAGATTTCTTTGTTTAGTCTTGCGTTGTCCAATTGTGCACGCATACGATTTATTTTAACTTTAAAATCAGCATCTAATATTCCATCATGTTTGTCAATGTTAATAGTTAACAGGAATGTTGAAATTTCATCCAATATAGGAAATATTAATTTTGTAAATATATTTTCATGACGAGTTATTTTACATTGATGTTGAGTGATAACAGTCTTAAAATTATTACCAGTTGTTATCAATTCATCTAATTTCTTTGAGGTCATTTCATCAAATTTTATTTTATCATTCATAAATTGTTCATATTGATCATTTTTACTGATGATTCTTTCTAATGAGATATTTACCTTCGCCATGCTGCTAATTAATTCATCAATTTTAGTTACTACTGAATTTGTAGCATTAGTATTTCTTGTCCAACGTTGCGGATTAGGAAGTGGTGGAAAATTCGCTGGATGATAACGATAATTGTTGCTGTTGAATTTAGTTGCTGCTGTAGATGATAATCAGATTTTAGTAGATAAAAGTTTTTTTGTTAATTCAGCTCGAAAAGTTTTAACAATAGGACATTTTAATGCATTGGAATTATGTTCACCATTACAATGAACACATTTACTCACTAAAGAACAGCTGTGTTGTCGAAGATCAGGACAAGAAATACCACAAATTTTGCACGTTCCATTAATTTCTTTACATTGTTTCTTAAAATGGCCACTTGTCATGCATTTAGAACAAATTAGAACAGAAGCCGGTGCCAAATATTCTTCCATATCATAGGTGATACCATTAATTGGTTATTTACCATCAGATAGAATCTCATTTCGACTTGTAGGAGATAAGATTTCGATTTTGACTAATTTAATACAATTTTGAAACTTGTTTTTTAATCTGATTACATTATGAATATCAGTATGAACAGCTTTTAAATCAGCACAGAATTCATCAAGATTGATACGAAGATCCACATTCTTGACAATAAGTGAAAGTTGTGGAGGAAAAGAAGGTGTTGAAGGAAACGAAAAATTTTCTCCACAAATTTGCTGAGGCCATTTATGTTTATCAAATAATGAACAAAATGAATCAGCATCCTTTACATAAATTAAAAAGTCATAATCATTTTGTTGACATTTTAACGTAGAACGTCGAGTATTAGCAATACAAATGTCTATTTGAAAGTTATCTTTCAAATAATTTTTTATTTCTTGAGCAACTCGTTTTTCTAAAATATTACCAGACGAGAAACGAATAATGAAAGGGGGAAATGGAAGCCGCGTTTGAGCATAGCGAGCGGCTTCCATTGTTATTTGTTGTTGATCAAAAGCTTGATTTTGCTGATTTGAATATGGATTTGAAGTTGAGGGAGCAGTAACAAATCTGGAAGAACGATGTTGATGTTGTTTATAAACATTAGGATAATAATTATTCAACAGTTCTTTGTCTTGATCATATTCACTAATAGCATTTTTATCATTATTTCGACGTTTCTTATTAGTAACTAATGTAAAGTCATCTTCATCATCTTGTTCAGAACGTGAATGACGAAGAGGAGACGATGCAGGTGAATCGCAAGGACGAAGATTGGTTGATATTGGAGGTGGAATATGAGAGTTGAAATAAATTCGAGACTGAGCTGTTGTATAAGGATTTTGTTGATTATCACAAATCATGTTTGTACGAATTTGTTTATTTTGATGATTACTCATGATAATAATAATATATAATTAATCGTAATTCCACGAATTGATGGAATTATAGATAGGGTGAGCAGGTGTTTCAACCTGTGATCAATGATGTATACTTGAAGATATATAGGCGTGTATGTAGAAAAAAAAATACGTCTAATCACAACGAAGAAAATAGTTGAAGTGAATTACGTTTAACGAATTCAAATAATACATCATCATCATCGTCATTTAATGAATCATTAGAACAAATTTTAAATATAACACCAACAATACCATTAACTATAATGAATATTATCGGTCAACAACAACATATATCGATGTCAGTTGAACAAAAATAGCAGCAACATTAATAGCACACCGAATAGATTATCTTATATTAAAAAATTTCTTAATATAATATCATCATATTAGAGAATTAATACGTCTTAATTGGTGTTTAGCATCTGAGCGAAAACAAAATTCATTTAAAACAAATTTAAAAAATGATTTTATTATTATACATCAGACATTTAAACAAGAAAATTTCAATCCAAATGATACCTCTATTATAAATGATGATAATGAAGAACATGATGAAAATTAATTAGCATGTTGTGAAGGATCAGAATTATTATCTATATCTTTAGCTCTTATATCATCAATTGTGGAAAATTTATAAAAAGAATTTTTTTCTTGGAATATTTTTTTATTAATTTAATACCTTATTGTTTATATCAAATAGTTCGTCATACATCATCAAAACAAATTTTTATTAACATCACATGGTTCACAAGGACAAGGTGAAAATTTAATACAATTTTTTTTTCTTCAAGGACAATTTCAATTATTAAATGAATCATCAGATAATTTTAAACATCATTACAATCATCAGATTTTTTCTTGTATTATGTCGTCTATTACCATATGCACATTCACAACATGGTGATGATGAAACTGATGATGATCAACGTCAAGATACTTTGGATACATTTTCTGAAGGAAAATTATTTCATAAAGATAATTATACAATAACACCACCAAATAAACAACAAGAACAAAATAATAATATGAACCTTCATTATGTTCAATAGAAAAACCAATAATCATCGACTACTTATTTATTCATGTCAATAGTAGAAGAAATAGATTCCGAACATCATTTATCATAAGATGATGCTGAGCAATGTTGTCTTAAAGTGAAGGAATATTTCAAAAAAAAATTTGTTTTATTTTTTAAAATTAAAATATGGTCAAATACAATTTATACTTATTGATCCATAAGATGGTGAACATATTCAATGTGGAACAATTGAGTTAACATTTCGAAATATTACAATGATGAATACAACAAACATAATTAATAATCGTTTATATACAAATGGCTCAATTGATTTATATTTTATAAAATTATTGAATAATGATTATTTTATATTCCATTTAAAACATGAATATATTGGTCGTACACATATATTAACAATTGAATCAAAATATCGATTTTTAATCAAACTCGACAAACATTATCATATTATGTATTACCAACATCGAAACAACAATATATAATTGATTATCCATATAATTGTTTAAAAATAAAAATAAATTGGTATCGTTTTTCAAGGTATACCATCAACAGATAGTATTTAATATTTATTATTTCAAAATGAATTAAAGGATAAACAATATTTATTTAAACCAATTAAATTAATGACAAAAATTGATGAAAATGGAAATCGACAATGTTTTTGTTTACATAAAAAGATGAACAAATTAAATTAAAATCATCCTCGTGAAAATTCATTTATGAAATTTGAACTTCGACATAATCAAACATTTACAATTTATTTACACGATGAAATTATTAGAAGTAATCATCGTATACGTATTATCATATGATGGAAAATATTTACGACAAGTATCATCTATAAACCAACAACAAATTGCTGATATTGATATACATATAATACACGAACTCATGGATGTGTGAGGACACACATCTAATAGGAGAGGGGAGGAATGTTAGCGGTGACTCACCCTCATTCCTGCTCCTTAATGTTTTTCTCTCTCTCTCTCTCTATCTCTTTGTGGTTGTTATTCTTTTTCTTTTCTCTTCTCTATTGTATCTTGTTATATATATGTATGTATTGTCAAGGACATTTTGGAGAAGATATATACATTTTAAATAAAATAAAAGTAAGCTCGGCGAAGCGAGCTAACAATGCCATATGAATAATCGACATGTACATGTGTGGAACCGTAGGCAAGTGAGATGAAAATGAATACTCTTATCTATTCGATCGTCAAATTACTATCTATCTATCAATCATCCTTGTTTTTGTTTGGAGAAAGTGCGCTTTATCTAACCTTTACACTAAATGTGTGCTTCGTCCTTATTCGATACTGCATTAACTCTAGTTGTAAGACGTATTTTGTATCGGTGCACCCTGTAAGATTTTGACGAATGCGATACAACAAAAGACAGAGTGAAAGCGTGCATTATGCAAGATTGACTGATCTAAAGTTGAACAAAGGATTCACACGCAAGTACATTATAGTAGCGATTGTCGTGGTGATCGCACTCGTGTTTTTCTCTGCTTGCCTGTGGCGACTGCTGCGACGACAGTAAGTCGAGTACTCGAAAGGCGTTGCATAGAATATTTCTCTTTATTAGACATAGTTCCTCTCAAACCGATGATCCAACGAAGAAAATCAGATGTGGAACATGTTTGAATTTAACTTTGACGACAATGTCCCACCAAAAAAACAACAGTGCGACACTTCTGCAATCCAGTGATCTCACAACATTGAGCACTCTTCAAGTTAGCAAACACACTCCAACACTTGAAAACATGATTGCTCATTCTGGTAAAATATCTTTTCATGTTCACAAGAATTCACTTTTAATCATGTTCTTACAACACCTTTTTCCGACCCTATTCTAACTAGAAAACATACGCCCAAAAAAAGACCACACTTCATTTTACATAGTTTTATTTGTCACATTCACGCGAATCATGGAATAATTGATTGGTCCCACTTCTGATCCACTCCACAGTTAACGAGCAGGCAACAACAATTTTTTCGTTGTGTTTGAATTTTCTAATAGGCACGACATACGAACAGTTCAAGTATTTCTTTACATGGAAACGCAGCAATGTGGCATATACGCTTTCTATGATAGAAAAGATTTTTCTAAAAAAATGTTCGCAAAAAATTCTAACTTTTTTGTCTCCTGGCTTCTGCATACTACCCATGTAAAAAAAAATAATCAAAAAATCGATTAAAAATCGATTTTAATCATACACCTTTAATCAATGATTCAAGCTGTAATAATCAAAACAAAATCAGATGATAATCGATTATTTAAAATATGATGATTATAATCCATTTTCTAAATTTTATCAAATCGATTATAATCATCATATTTGAAATAATCGATTATCATCTGATTTTGTTTTGATTATTACTGCTTGAATTATTGATTAAAGGTGTATGATTAAAATCGATTTTTAATCGATTTTTTGATTATTAAAATTGATTTTTTTACATATTTTTTTTTACATGGGTGTCCACCGTACACTCCTGAAGACGTTTAGTCCATTTCAAAAAATCTTCTTCCTTGATAATCATTTCTAATTCTAAGTCTGGCATAGCTGAGGTTACTGATAACAATTTGGTCAATTTAAACTGTCAATCGAGGCAAGTGTGAATAAATAGAGATGCAAGAGCAACTTTTGTCCTAGAGTGACCGAGATTTGTGATGAGACGGGTACGCAAAGTAATTACACTCTAAAAAAAATCGGTTTTTTACCGAACCCCCAAAAAAGGTTCCGGAGATGTCTAAAAGCGTCCAAAGATGTCCAAAGTCTCAAAAAAAGGATAAAAAAATCTACGAAACCTTTAAAGGTTCTTACCGTGTACCCAGGATAAGAACCTTTTCCTGCTAAACCTTTTTTTAAGTTCCGTACAGCAGAAAAGGGTTTCGTAGGAAAATACGAAACCTTTAGAGTTTCATATTAAATCCTAATAGTTTCGTACTAAACCCTCATGATTTCGTAGAATTTAATACGAAACTCTAAAGGTTTCGTATTTTCCTACGAAACCTTTTTCTGCTGTACGGAACTTAAAAAAAGGTTTAGCAGGAAAAGGTTCTTATCCTGGGTACACGGTAAGAACCTTTAAAGGTTTCGTAGATTTTTTTATCCTTTTTTTGAGACTTTGGACATCTTTTGACGCTTTTAGACATCTCCGGAACCTTTTTTGGGGGTTCGGTAAAAAACCGATTTTTTTTAGAGTGTAGAAAGCAGCTCGAATGCGTCCAAAATAGTCTAGGTAGACGTAGAACTTTGTGCTCTACAGAAATCCGAAAGAATAAGCCATAATCATATATGACATATTAACCGTCAAATAGCCAGAGCATTGACCAAACATGTTGACTGGTTGCTAGAGATGGTCACTCTCCTTTTATTCGGGCTGCTTTCCTGTGCATTCATTTCATGCCATTTTGTTCCCTCTATAGTGGTATTCTTTGCAAAAAGGATATGCCTGAGACGATTTTATGCATGTCCTCCTTCAAGGTCGTTCGAATTCATAAATAGTAGAAAATATTTAGGTCCATCATACTTTTAACAGCGAACAGAAGAGAAAGAGTTAAACGAGACTTCAAACTTCAGCTTCTATGTAGAGAGCAAGTATCCTGAAGAATTAATAACCACACAATGTTGATTTTCTTTTAGCCAACACAACATCCACTATCACCATTACTACAACTACCACATCAGAAATCACAACCATAATAAATACAATGCGCAGTAAGTGATGTTTCTTTTTATATATGGGGAACAGGACGAGTTGAGTGTTAGTTTCAGAAATGTTTGACTAGTAAATTCTCATTTAATCTGTTTTTAATATCGATTGAAAGATGCACAATGTCGTGTTTTGTTGATTATGCTAGACTCGTTGTGCCAGTGAGTGACTAGAGGATCGGTGAGCTCTATTTGAGAAAGACTAAAGTTGCAAAAAAGAATCTAACATACAAAAAATCCTACAATAAATAAACAAAGCACGCACACGTATCGTCACCCACCTTCAGATACGTGCATCACGCTATGACCGCTCTGCACCTGCTTCTCATAAAAAATGAATCGAATGGAATTTCAAAATTCTGTTCGGACAAAGGATGTGGGTGCGTGGGCGTGGGTGGGGGTGGATGGGTGTGAGTGGGCGTGGGTGGGCGTGGGTGGGTGTGGATGGGTGTGTGTATTGTCTTCGCATGGAGCACACCCACACCCACACCCCAAAAAACTAAGTGCCAATCGTTGAAAAATTAGGATTTAAAAAATATATCAAAAATATCTGGGATTATACATTCTCCCAATGACATCAGCGAGATTATACATTTTATCTAAACCGGGTGAATGTATAATCGAAAATTACTGTTCATAGAACACCTTGTAAATAGGTGTGCTTATAAGATTTTGAGAAAAGTTTTTTACCAAACGATAGAGTATGGTAGAAGGTAAGTGTTTTATGAAGAAAATTTAAAAAAAAACACTAAAAAAGTTATAGTCATTTTGCTGAGAACCATTGCATTGTCTTCTACTTTTACTACCGCTTACTCTATAGAGAAAGATGACAAATAAAATAAATTACCTTTCATTATCAATATGGGACAATAACAGATAAAAAATTATTTTCTATATATTCGCTATAAAGAAAATACAAATAGATGCCTAAGCATATAGTAGTATAAATGTTAAATAATATATTATTCTCTATATTATCAAGATACATAAATAAGAAATAAAAAATAAATGTACAAGCACATAGTTTAGAGTAAATCAAATATTATATCGTTTTCTATATTATATATATAGACAAATAACAAATAAAAAAATATTTTGTTTTATATTTTTAATATAGAAAAATAGAAAAATATTCCCAGGCATATAGTAGAAAAAAATTAATTCATTTATTATTTTCTATATTATCAATATAGGAAAATAAGGAATACAAAAAATATATGTTCCAGTATATAGTAGAGGATACATAGAAAAAAATATAATTTTTCATCTCCTGCTCGTCTTAGAAAAACTTCAACATCGATATTTTTTCTGTCGAAATATTTTGTGAAGAAAAACGTTCTCTATTATGTGAAAATTTCCGAGATATATCTATACTTTGACTAATCTATTATACAAAGCATTTATTTTTGAAGTCAAATATGATTTTATGATTCCATTAATAGAAAACATTGTCTTGCACAGGACAATTTTGTGTATTTTGTGCATTTCTCCATAATAGAAACTATTGAATCAACAATTCTCAAATAAGTAAAAGAACATGATAGATCACACAGAATCAAATCAGAGTAGACAAGACTTGGATTATGTAATGCTATAACTTTCTTTTGTTTATGAATCCTATTTAGTCAGATAAAATCAGATCAGAATCCTTTACTCTGTTCTTATATATTTCTTAATCTCAGAATCTAGTAAGATGTCCACTGACATATTTTATTCTGAATCTGACAAAAGCATTAAAAAAATGCATCTATTTTCACTGTCTCTTTTTGATCTCTTCTAGTACATTTCTCTTTTTTCTTTCCTGTCTACTTTACATCTCATGTATATCACTTCTCTCTTGCATTCTTTTTGTGCATGGCATCGCATCTAGTCTATTTTCAATATTCTTGTTCAGAATCTTCGAGAAGATTATTATTATTCTGAGACTTCTATTATATATATCCACCCTTGTGCCTATGATACTCATTATGTTCAGAAGAATTCAGTGAAAATCCTTCCAAGGTCTGTTTGTGATGAGCACTTTGTTCATGGAATTTTTTGTATTTACTGTTCTAAATAAAGGAAAACTATAATTCTAATAATTACTTTACAAGAATGAAGAGGAAAACAATCTAATTTGGGCAAGAATACCAGTCCAGCAATCAAAATCATAGAAATATGAATAAATTTTATCATATTATCTCCAAAAATTAGCTTGGGCATCCGAGGGTTAAATACACATAAGTTTTTGAACATAATTAAATCTACGATTGATATCAAATAGTAGCATATTAATTTATTGCTTTATAAACTTTCTCATAAAATTTAAAGATAGGCACCTCCATTCTGTCCTGTTCCTACTCCATTTCCACTCTGATGAGAAAAAGCATCAACTTTAGAGTTGGAATTCCCCATCTCTGATATCAACCATTTCAAAATACTTACTTTTCAGATCCTCCTGAACATATCCATAACATGCGAGGTTACAGAAGGGTTCTCAGAACAAGTACTGCATAAGGATTATAGCATAATCCTAATAGAAGATATTCATTATTTTTAGATTTTGGCAGAGTATCTTATTTAGTCATCAAGATTCTCTTCGAGGACCCTTATACAATGGTTTGAAGATGGTGTTCATCAAAAGTTAAACATAGCATTTTAGAACACTTTCTTTTCAAAGCCCATAAAATCCACAGATCCCAATATTTGTCACTGGAGAGGTTCGTTCGGATTGACAGCCATCTTTTCAGCATTTGCAAAAGTAGAACCCCTCTCAGATTGCATAGATTCGCGTGGAATCCTCACAACTTTGTTCAGTTTCGCCTGTATCCAAGCCTTCTCATGATCCTACTCAAAGTACATCACGGTTGTTCTTCGAACACCTTGACATAACTTAACAAAAGCCTTATAAAATTTCACCGGCATTCTCTATGCAAATACTTAGGAGATTCTTCGGCAGATCCACATTCATCATACAGAAAATCATGTATCCCCAAGGTTTCCTAAAAAACATAGGGATTAGGTTTGATATTTTGTTGTTCCACGATTCGATATTCTTCTGACAAGATACAGATAAAATCTTCTCTGATGTTCATATAAATGATCATTCTGCCAAAAAGATTCTGAATTCTTACATTTCTGAATAAAATCCTCAGATCCTTATGTTTTTCTATCAAAAACTTACATGGAATTAGTATTACTCTTTCTTGGAGGACCTCCTTACAGCAATCTCCAGGTGTTATTTTCATGATCAAAAAGATCTTGGCAAGAACTAGAAGTAACATAGATGTAAGAATCGTTACGAAATCCTTTTTTTCTCATAAGAAACTAAGAAAAGACTTCTGACTTTTTATCTGCGGAACGAGCATTCTCAAAGATGAATGTCATATATGTAGCGCTTGCTCCCACGAGAGACGGGATCCCTTCAACAACGACAATTTCTTTTCTTTCCTGTTCATTGTAGTCATTCCTAATATTCCAGTCGATGCCCGATGGGCACAGAATGGAGTGACTGTTGCTGGAGGTCATGGAAAAGGCAGTGGCATCAATCAACTCGACGGGCCTTCTGGTCTCTTCGTTGATGATGATCAAACGATGGTCATTGCTGACTACTACAATCATCGTATCACCCAATGAAAGATGGATGATACGAATGGGCAAGTAGTAGCTGGTGGCAATGGCCAAGGAAATCGATTGGATCAGTTGAATTGCCCAGCCCATGTGTTGATTGACAAAGAGACGGATAGTCTCATTATTTGTGATCGAGAGAATCAACGAGTCGTACGATGGTCTCGTCGTAGTGGTACAACACAAGGAGAAATCCTCATCGACAACATCGATCCTTATGGATTGGCCATGGATGATCAGAGATATCTCTATATCTCTGACACCGGAAAACATGAAGTAAGACGATATCAAATAGGAGACAAGAACGGAACTCTTGTGGCTGGTGGCAATGACTATGGTGCTGATCTCAATCAACTCAACTTTCGGATCTACATCTTTGTCGATCAACAACAGACTGTCTACGTGTCAAACTACAACAATCATCGTGTAATGAAATGGAATAAAGATGCAAAAGAAGGAATTGTCGTCGCTGGAGGTCAAGGCGAAGGGAATGCTCTGACACAATTGTCGTATCCTTACGGACTGTTCGTCGATACGTTGGGTACCATCTATGTGGCAGATTGCATTTACGATAGAGTAATGCGTTGGCCTAAAGGAGCGAAACAGGGCACTGTCATTGTGGGTGGAAATGGTGAAGGAGCAGGAGCAAATCAGTTCAACTGTCCCCGAGGTTTGTCTTTCGATCGACATGGCAATCTCTATGTCGTCGATGAGTGGAATAATCGTGTTCAACGATTTTCAATCGAATAGACTCATTACGATGGATTTTTTTTCCTTTCCTTTCTCTCAAATAAATCGCATTGGATTGATGAAATGAATGGCTTATTCTATTCGCGCGCGCGCGACCAGGAACCATCCTGGTGGAGCCGTGGCGAGCGTAACGCTCATGCACGCACAGGACAGACTCATATCATTCATACCCTCCCCGCGAGAGATATGTCAATGAGTCTGAATAAGCCTGGTCGTGTGCCACGGACACCAAGACGATTCCTGGCCGGGCTTTTAGGGACTACCCGGAAGTCCTTCATAAGAGACGAAACCCTAACCCTCAAGGAACAGAACTCACCCTCGTCTCTCACTAACATTCACTTTTCTTAGTCTCACCCTAACCTCTCAATCTCACTACCTATTCTCATCTCAAAAAAAAAAAGAAAATTACTTACCGTGTCTGATGTTGATGACGCGATGATATTGATAGCTGAAAGGAATAGAAAAAAAAATTTAATCAATGTTATTTAATGAAATAGAATGAGATGACTTACCCTAATGTTATCTTTTTCTTCATTGTTTATTCCCTAAAATAAAAAAAATAATAAAAAAAAGATCAAAGGAGGCCCTACCCCACCATCCTTATAATCGTAAAAGAAAAAAAAAATTAAAACTGATATCTACATTTCATTTTATTGTCTGGTTTGTTGTTGAATTGTTTCATATTGTTTGGTTGAAGCCAATCTAAAACAGAAAAGAAAAATGATTATTATTTGATTCAAAAATTTGAATGATTTTACATAGAAAATCATTCGTATTTATACCTTGAAAAATGATTTTTTTCTCTCGTCGAAAATGATATACATATTTAATTGTACATGTTGATCATTGATCGTCAATGATAACAACATGAACAATGATTTATGGACGAGAGAAAGACAAAAAAGAAAAAGAAAATTCCTCTCTTCACATATATTTCTTTTTTCTTTCCTTTCTCTCTTGTTAACATTAACATATATAATGATTTATTTATGAATTTTTTTTAGATTGTATCTCATTTGGAATGAAAATGAAATTGTTTTGTTTATTTTTATTAATGATAATCAATAACAACATTTATGTATAATTATTTTATTTGCTATGATAAAATACAAAATATATTACATCAGACGAACTATTACTTAAGTAGACATACTTAATGTTAAAAACTGTTGATTCAATTTCATAGACTGTCGAAAAAAACAAAACAATGGAAGTTTTTAAATACTTAAATTTTTACAATAATGTTCTTTTTCGATGAACATATCTAAATATCAACAAAATTTTAGATCAAAATAATCCATTACAGAAGTTTGAAAAAATCTTTCTTTGTTAGGTGGATTTATTACAACAGAAAAGAATGAAACAAGATATATTCTTCTTTTGAATAAAAATTTATTTATATCGACATATCTATTCTATACACATCAAGATCAACAATTTGTTATTCATGTACAAGTATGTATTAATCAATAAAGAAAAAAGATTAAAAAATGTATATATAATGTTTTTACTAATTTGGAGAATTTTATGTTTAATGAATAATATTGATAAATCCATGTGTACAATTAATTTAACTAATAATTAAACAACAACATCGTCAGATTTCTTCATTATTATTATTTTCATCATCAACATATGATTAATACTATACCGAATTCGGAAACATTTTAATATTAATAAAAATGAGTATGTATTAGATGACAATATTGTTATAAAGAACAAAATATTAACATATATAATTAGTATTTAATTGGAATGGAATATAAGAGAAATCGAATAAAAACTAATATTCCCTAGACTGAAAGTATAGGGTCTAGAAACGGAAATTCGCCTGTGTCTGTCTGTCTGTCTGTCTGTCTGTCTGTCTGTCTGTCTGTCTGTCTGTATGTCTGTCTGTCTGTAACACGTACGGTTACCATATGGTAACTATGTGATCGTTAAAATAAAAATAAATATATATTTCGAATGGCGCGCAAAGCCAATAAAATAAGATTTTCTTTCTATATTCCCTAGACTGAAAGGCTAGGGTCTAGAAACCGAAATTCACCTGTGTCTGTCTGTCTGTCCGTCTGTCTGTCGGTAACGCGGTCAAAATGGCCATTTTTTTGGCACACGTGACCATTTTTTTGGCACAAGTGACCATTTCTTTGGCACAAAGGACCATTTTTATGGCACAAACGATCATTTTTTTGACACAAGTGACCATTTTTTTGACACAAAGGGCCATTTTTATGGCACAAACGATCATTTTTTTGGCACAAGTGACCATTTTTTTGGCACAAGTGACCATTTTCGTGGCACAAATGGCCATTTTTTTGGCACAAGTAACCATTTTTTTGGCACAAACGGCCATTTTTTTACTAAAATTAACTAGGTAACTATGGTACAAATGAGCATGTAATTATGGCACAAACGGTCATTTTTTTGGTAGAAACGACCACATAACTATGGCACAAGTGACCATATAGCAACCATAGTACAAACAACTATTCCGGTAACTATGGTACAAATGACCATCTAAAGACTGATGTAAATGAACCCATAATAATCATGGGTAAAATGTCAATGGGATAACTATAATTCGGGTAGTGATGTAAAACGGCTTACTTACAAAAGCATTTAATTAGTGAGAGTCAGATCAAATGAGCAGTATGGATTTAAAGAAATCGTTTAAATTATTCATTATTGTAAGATTGATTGTGCAATGTTGTATCAATGAATATCTAATTTGTTAATAATTTAGAATTAATGCGTGAATTTAAGCATAAAATATTGATTAATAAAACTCAAATTTTATGAATAATATAATTCATATTTTTGTACGTACAAATAGCGCCAATATAATTATAAAAAAATCGTATTGTTGTCTAATCTTATTGGGCGCTATTTATATTCATAAAAGCAAAAAAAAAATAAAACAAAAACGATAAAAAAAAATTAAATTTGTAAATGCATTATCTTTACTTAGAGTGAGAATTCTCCAAATTAAGTTTTCTGCTCGCCTAAGATATACTGGTCATATTATCAATGTTGCGTATTACTTTTTTAATGTAGCTTTTTATGCTATTCCATCCGTACATGTATTCTATCAGTCTAGGGCTAAGTGAATCGCTTGACGATGAACGTTACTTGTTAATTTTACAATATTATTAAACATTTTTCAAGTAAGATAAGTATTCAATGAAATATATTTTACTAGTTAAAAAAAAATTATAGCGTCTGTTGAGTTACTTGTGAAAATATTCTGTTGTTAATAGACTTGAACAATGTTATTATCAGAAAAGCTAGATTTACAAAAAAAATAAATATACATGTATATATTTTAAAATGATCTAATCTCACAGGTTCGATATTTTTCCTAAGACTTTACTGGTCATATACTTAAGAAAAAAACTATGTATACTTTTTCTATAAACATTATTTGATTGTTCGATACGATAGCAAAGTCTGAATACGAACTCGCTTCTCAACAATCAAACAATAGTTTTCAAAAAAAATGGCTACCATTTAAGTGGTCGGTATAATAATTGAAATGATCAGTAAAAAAAATGGAAATGATCAGTATAATAGTTGAAATGATCAGTATCGAAATTATCAGTAATAAATTCTAAAGTGGTCAGTTTATTAGTTGAAAGTGTCAGTTAAAAATTCAATCTCCCGTCAGTAAAAAAATAGAAATATGATCGGTAAAATATTAAATATCAATCAGTAGAAAAGTATGTTTTATTAGTAGAAAATAAATTTATTTACATGAAAGATATTATAGAACAACTTCATGAGTTTTCTGATAAAGAAAAAAAATTAAACTGAATCATTGTATTAATAAAGCGGCTTTCGCTTTGGCTGGTCTACCTCGTTTTCTCTTCTGTCCAATTGGAACAGTTTTTGCTGCTGGTGGTGGTTTACAGCACTTGAGACGAATAGCTATCCCCACAATATGCTTGCATATGTAATTCTTTAAAAAATATGGACAATTGCATTTTGATGTTTTCCAATGCGCATCGTTCTCGATTTCCATACACCATATGTCATATGATTTCCTGAACTGATTGAATGTTGTCCATTGCTTGTTGTATTTATTTATATCGTTTTTTGTAATTGATTGAATATCACGAGCTGGAATATAGTACTTTTTCAAAGAACCATGTGAGAGACAAATTACTTCTTTTCTTGATTGAGCCCATTGATAGGAAGATGTCCACAATTCCAAAGATATTGTTGGTTCTATGGCAAAAAGTTTTGCATTAACTGATAATGAATCACGTTCAGTTGACCAATTGTAGATTATATTTGAAGAAATTGCCAGAAATCTTGATAATACGTGACGCTCTCGAAAGGTTCCATCATCTTTAATCGTTCTATTAGTTGCCTCTAGGGCGTTGTTTGTACTTGGTGTATTTAATTGTAATCCTTCATACCATCCATCATTCAATGTTAGCCATTCATAATCAAAGTAATTCAAAAAGCCTAATATCGATTGGTTCTTTTGTTTCGAATTCATTTTCCATTTTTTCATGAATAATGCTGTTGCTAGTTTAAATGTAGTTGATGAATTACATAACTGAAGCATCTGAATATCTTCTATTATCTCTTTTCTGATATCTTTGTCATCTACTTGACATACCCGATTTTCAATTTTCCGTTTCATATGTGCCCAACACATTATTTCCTTATATGAATT